CGTGTCTGTCCGTGGAAACGATGCCACCACCTCCCCAGACCACGCAAGCCGCCACATGAATGATGTACTAAATAGAGTCCACGGCGCTCTGCATGTCAGACAACTTGGAAAGGAAATGCTGCATCCACTCCGTAAACTTGCCTCAGCCCTGCAAGGAGGGCCTGGGAAGAGCAGCAGTTTGGTGTGTGGGCAGAGTCTAGAGTCTGGAATCGGCTCCTCATCTGTAAAGTGAGTCCCATACACTTAGCAACTTCACGGGAGTCTTGTGAGGATAAGCGTGAAATGCTTAGAAGAGCAACTAGTCGAGAGGAAGCATTAAGAAATGTTACGTGCTATTACCATAATTAGCATTATTTTATAAAAATTCAAGTAGCATGAACTTGAAAAATGGGATTTCGCCTTTTTCCAACCACAATGATTCTGTTTTGGTAGCCAACTCACTCCCACCTCTGGGCCTTTGTATTTGCTGTTCCTGGGGCCTAGAATGTTCTTCCCTCAGCTCTTGGCAAAGCTGGTGCCTCTTGCTCATGCAGGCCTGCCCATACCATCCCAGTTAAAGTAACCACCCCTTCCCTGCCCTACCAGCCTGCCCTATCAACCACTCTCTAGCCCCTCACCCTGTTAACTCCTCTATGATACTTTGAGCATCAAAAATTACCTTGTTTATTGCACATCTCTTCAGCTAGAATGTAAACCCTAGGACAGTGAGGATCTTCTCTGTCTTGTTCACTGTCCAAATGCTTTCAGTCACTATGCTCTACTGTGTATGTACCAGAACGTTTACTGGACGTATCTTTGCAAAGGCGAAAGAAATCCTAGGAACAACCTAAACGCCCAGCGACAGGGGAATGGTGGTATAAAAGCATGGTTTCCTCATACTGAAGAATGTGTGTCTAGCTGTTAAAAAGAATGAGCCAGGGGTACCTCACTGGCTCAGTCAGTGGAATATGCAACCCTTGATCTCAGAGTTGTAAGTTTGAGCCCCATTATGGGTATAGAGATTACTTAAAAATAAAGTCTTGAAAAAAAAAAAAAAGAAGAAGTAGTCAGATCTGTATACAATCACTTGAAGGGATATGTCCTATTATCAATTCAAAAAAATCAAGTTATACATATGTGTGGTTTGATCCTTACTCCTCCTTTATGGGGGAGCGGTGAGGAAGAAGGAAGAAAACAACAGATGCCTACAGAAAAAGGCAAGGGAGAGCATCTACCAAACTTGCCAAGGGCAGAGCACATCCATTCTGGTCACTACCATTTTCTCCAATCCTGACTGCAGATACTTAATAAATACTCCTTGCCTGAGTAAATGGTTACCTTCAGGGGAGGGGATTTTAAGAGTGGAGGGCGGCACCTACTACTTTGTTTATTCATCTCTGCGTTGTTTGACATGTTACAACAAGCGCGTATATCTTTGCATAACCTTTTTAAAGCCAAATTCAACCCATTTTCACACACGCGAATCAAGTCTCTGACCACAGCAGTCCTAAGTAACAGCTGCATCAGTCTCAAAGAAAGCGGGGATACACGAACTCGTCCAGTAGTCTCTCGTTCTAAAACCTAAAAACACTGTCTTCTAAAAACATAAATACCTTTAACTTAGATCCTGCTAGTTAAACATATGACAAGGTTAAGCTGTTACCATAACCTGTGTCATTTTTCAAACCCCAATTTGAAATCTACCAGTGAAATATGTTGTACAGAAAAAAAAAGGCGCCAATTACTGCACATTCTAAATTCCATTTCTGATTTACCACCTGACAACTGCAATGTCTGAAAAACAGGCTCACATTTAACTCTTAGACCATTCCACACAGACTGCTAAAAAACCATGTGCTGTTGTCACTAACAATTAAGACCAAGATTTTTTTAAAAGTCACTGCTTCGTTTCCTCAGATCAAAAAAAACACTTAGGTAAATTTGGTGGCCATCACAAATGTGACTGGGATCACGGGTTCCCATCATCAAATGAAATCACAATGACAGGTTTCTGCCAACAGACTTAAACCTACACAGGGATATAATAAATTCCCTTCCCAGCCTCTTCCCTGGCATGTGCGCTGCCTCCCAAATGTCCAGGATGGCTGCCTTCCCATACAGGATATTCTAACTCACTGACACACTATAACTTTTGAGAAAGAAATGAATGACTCGCCCCCACTGGTAAAAATGGGCCCCTAAGAAACCAGGCCTTTACGCCACACATGTGGCCACTGCGGTCAGGCCAAGTCGATATTGTCTTCTCTGACCCTTAATAATGTTTTACAGGCATTAATCTCTGGTGATCTAAAAGAAACAACTCAACCTTGTCAGAAAAGGCCATCTCCAGTGGCCAAGGTGGACTTTTGGTGCCCACGAGATGGGAGACCATGATGGGCCAATGAAATGGTGTTTCTCTGAAATGGCAGCTCCATTCCTCTTGCCAGTCAGCTGGACCTGGGAAGGCTGGGGGAGAAGTGCAAGTCCCAAGCGTCTGGCTCAGGCAACTGGGTCACAGTTAGCCCATTTGCCCAGATGGTGACTCCTGGGTCTGGGAGGAGAAGTTTAGGTTGAACATGTTGAGTTCATGGTGCCCAAGGGACAGTCACCAGGGGACATCAAGAAAGCACAGGCTCTACATCTGGAGCTGGAGCTCAGGGGGTTAATATGGCTTTGAGACAGGGTTAAGTGCTTGCATCCCTGGGGTAGTACATAAAGCACTGGGGTGAATGTGCTGGCTTGCGGGGAGGAGTGTGGGAGAGGTAAGCAGAGGGCTGCTGACCGCAGGCCAGTACCATCTTTTCTCAGGCTCTTACACAGCACCTGTTTCAAAATTTAATCTTTGGTGAATAAAAATTAGGGGGAGGCACTAACTTCATCCCTGCTCTGTTCTGCATATAAACAGAAGCAGCAAAAGCCTATTAAGAGAAATAAGCTATGTTTATTAAGTGCTTACTATGCACCCTGCCCTGTGCTAAACGCTACACATGAATTATCTCCTGGAATCATCAAAACAGCCCTGGCACGAAATCCTGTGACTACCATTTCACAGATGGGACACTGAGGCTGGGAGTGAATATGTGGGGGAGCTCAGGGCTGTCATGTCACAGCCCACAGTTAGACAGTCTCTGGGCCAGATGGAGAACATTGAAGAAGAACAATTATAATACATAAGAGCTGCTACTTAGTAGGAGATGGCTCTGGACTAGGAATACCATCTCAGCAAATCCTTACAACCCGCTGAGACTGATGTTGTCATCCCATTTTACAAACAAGGAACCTGAGGCTGCCGAAGAGAAAATCAACTAGATCAGAGGTGCCCCCGCCCCCGTGGGCCAGACCTAGACTAGAGCCAGAGCCCCACCCTTAGAGGGTCTCAGGGTCGCAGGAAAAACGCTGAATAAATGGTACCATTTATTGAATGCTCACTATGTGCCAAATGCTGCTCTAAGCACTTTACACACAATATTCTCGCTGCATCCACAAAACTCCATGAGGTGGCTGCTATTGAAATCCCCATTTCACAGATAGGGAAACCGAGCCACAGAGAGGTGAAGCCAGTTGCCCAAGGTCACATGGCTGACAAATGGCACAGCTTAAATTTGAATCTGGGTCTCTGCCTCCCAAACCAAAGCCCCTAAAATAATTTCGATTAACAGGAGTCACCCTCCACTGAGTACTAACTATGGACTCGGCCCTTTACATGCATACCCTCAACTAACCCAATGTTGTAGATGTTAACACCTTCACCCAATTTCATGGGAGCCAACAATAGCGCAAACATGTAGTTAAGTGCCTTCCATGTGCCAAACGCCTTATTCGCCATACCTCAACATCTCAACAGAATCCCCAGCAAAAGACACTCTTATTCCCTTTTTACCGAAGGGGAAACTGAGGTTCGGTGCGGTTTCCCTAGATCGCAGATCCCGAGTGGCAGAGGCAGGACGCGAACCCACCGCTACCCGACTCCCACCCATGCTCTTCCATACATTGCTGGTAGCACGTCTCGAAAGTTGAGCCATGCGGGCACAGGTCTGGCCAGGTCCGGAGGGCGCGAGTCCCGGCGCCGCCGCCCCCCACAACCGGTGCCCACACCCGGCCGTCCGCCGAGTCTCCAACCCGCGCTGACCCTCGAGGTCCGAGTGGACACCGATTGCCCGCCACCCTTCCGTGAGGCCGCCCCTGCACCCGAACCCACATACCTGGGCGTCCCGGCTGCCCGCCCCGCGGGCCCCACGACCGCGGCGTCCGGCTCCGCGCGGTTCGCTGGAGACGCCGCCAGCTCGGGTGGCCCGAGTGACTTCCAGGCTGCCCACTTCCAAGCCGCTTCGCGCGAAGCCTTCTGGGAACTGTAGTTTCGCCCTAGGCGGCAGCAAACTGGGGAGGGGAAAAAAAAAAAAAAGGCCTAGCGCGCAGGTATTGCCGGGACCAGTAGGCGCAGCCCCGCGCCGCCTTCTGGGAATGGTAGTCCACCTGTCGCCTCCGTGCCGCTCCAGTCTCCAGAGCACTTCCGCAGCCCCGAGGGGCGTGAGGGATGGAGGCGTGTCGTCTGCAGACTCCAGCCCCGTGGCCGAGCTCTTCGCTCTGCAAGAGCGGCTTTTCCCTTTCTCCCAGCCCTGTCTGCCTCCACCTTTCCTCCGGCGGACTCACCCCCTCTCTCCGCCAGGCGCGAGGTACTTACCCCGAGGACGCGAGCCTCGGGAGAGGCGGGGACAGCGGAGCTGTGCGCTAGACCCCCAGTGGAGGGGAGCGGCAGTGGAGGGCGTCTTTGCGCGCTCGCGCACGCGCGCTCGCGGGCCAACACCGGCCTAAATGCCGCGGGCCCCCGCGGGGGAGGCTTTTTTTTTTTTTCCCTTTCGAACGCGCGCTGAGCTTCTTCCTACCGGGCGCGCGCGAGTGCGCACGCGCGCTCTCTCCCTTCGCCTGGGTCTGTCTACTGGGCGCGGGGTTGGAGGGTAACCGCTCGGTCCGCGGAGCCTTCCCGCAGCATCCCCAAGGTCGCTACCCAGGCGCTCCTTGTAGGTCTGCTCGTTCACATAGGAGCTCCCGGGTATCTCCACACACGCTGTACCCGTCACTTGTCGGGAGTCCTGTCGTCGCAGGTAATAGGCACGGATGGCTCCAGCCTTGAACAGGCGGTCGCGCCCTCCTTCCTACCCACGCCGAGGGCCGGGACGCCCGAGCGTGTAGACACTCGGGTGTGCTGGCCTCTCGCCGGCCGAGGCATCTCCAGAGCTCTTTCCTCCATGGGAGCCTCAGGACCACCATCCAGAGGGCTGCCCTGGAGGCCCTGTGAGCCACCTTTCAGTCGTTGATCACACATTCTGAGGGTGTCTGGTGCTTGTTGAGTACCTACTGCCTGGGAATTTTGTTCAAATTTAGTTCACCTGCAGAAATAATCAAGAATCCGACCCTTAAAAAAAAAAAAATGGATGTTACCACTTCAACTCCATAGGTGTTACCGAGGGGATTGCTGAAGCGCAAAGGTCCTCAAGCAAGAAAACCCAACCAATAACATTGTTTCCTCCAAGAAGATGCTCAGTAAGACTTGAAACTGGGAAGCATATATTCTTCCTGGGAGAGGGCAGAGGGTCATTCATTTGCTCATTCATTCAACAGAACTGTATTAAGCCCGTACTTCATGCCAGGTTGGGTGATTGTGGGACAGTGGGAAGTTAAGACAGGGTTCCTACCTGAGGGAGCTAAGTCCAGTGGGGGGTATCAGAACATCACCAGAGAGAGACAATCTAAAGCAAGACTATCCAACACAATTATAATGCAACCACATATGCCATTTTAATTATTACATTAAAAAATTAAAGGAATGGGAAAAATTAATTTTAATATTTTATTTAACCCACTATATCCAAAATAAGTTATGCTTAATGAGAAAACATTTACATGGCTCCAATTTTAAAATTTCATTTAGCTAAAATAAAATTAAAACTCTGAGGCATAAACAAAGATACTCATTTGTGGCATGGGTTGTTGTAGCAAAAGGTTGGAAACTGCCCAATGTCCATTAATAGAAGGTTGGATAAATAAATGATCAATACCAGGCCGCTGGCAACTGCTGAAAAATGAGAGCAAGCTATATGTATTAATATGAGTTCATCTCTAAGATATATTAGGTGAGAAAGAGGTGCAGAACAGTGTGTAGTTCACCACTATTTGTAAGGGTTATCTTGCACATACACACTTGGGTATATACAGAACAGCCATGGAAAGATACAACCACCGTTACCTTTGTGAAGGGGAAACAAAGATAGGTTATCACGTGTGAAAAGGTGACTTTTTGAATCTATGCTCCATAGTATCTTTTGAATATTTTTTACCAAGTCCATTTTTTAAAAAAGACTTATTTTATTTATTTGACAGAGGGATCACAAGTAGGCAGAGAGGCAGGCAGAGAGAGAGGAGGAAGCAGGCTCCCTGCTGAACAGAGAGCCCAATGTGGCCCTTGATCCCAGGACCCCGAGATCATGACCTGAGCTGAAGGCAGAGGCTTAACCCACTAACCCACCCAGGCGCCGCATACCACATCCATTTTTAAAAGTTTAAATGGAGGATGTTAGCTAAGTCATAGAATCATCATAAGAATTCAATGAAACAATGTATTTAAAATGCCTACTCCTTTTCCAAGATTGCCTGTGGCATTATAGCCCCTCTGACTAATTAACTAGGCCCTTCTGATACTGGGTTTCTGCATCCCTGTCCCCTCCTGTGAGAGCCACCTATGAGGCCATGGGATTCATGCAGGGCATTATCTTGACAGTGGAGCACACATCACCCAATCCTTTTGGGTGGCAAGTCTCCTTGCTATATATACTCTCAGCAGTTTTTCCTTTCTTTCTTAAAAGTGAATCAATAGCATAATTTAATTTGCTTTATGCTTGGGAAGATTAAAAATTGCAGAAAAGTTCAAAGAATAATAGAACCCAACACTCAGAATTTCTCATTGTAGTCAAATTTTATGACAATTCTTTGATGTTCGCCTTCCCTGCTGAACTGTAAGCTCTATGGGGTAAGAACTGTATGCCCTCACCTTCCTACAATAGCATATGGAGCCACTGAGTGACCCAAAAGGAGACCAGGGGCCCAATACTGTCATGGAGTGCAGTGCCCCCTAGAGGCAATTCTCTTTATTACAAAGACAGGACTTGGAGTCTGGCCTTCCATCCCAACGTCTTGGAGTGGACTGTGGCTAAGAAAAGGATGTAGTTCGGTGCCCAGTCACAGACCTGGTTTGCCTTCATAGTCAGTAGGACATACCAAATCTTGGCTTCAAATATTAACTCCCCTAAATTGACTGCAGAGCCTGAATTCTCCCATTTGAGAGATAACCCCTGGGTTATCACGATACAAAAAAGTCAAGACTACTGGGACAAAGGCATCTGGAGCTCACTCCACGTTTGCTTTTAAGGGCAGATAATGGGATTAGGGAATCAAAGGTGGGGGAACTTTAGGAGAGAGGTGGTAAATGGGGTAGGAGAGAGTGTCCAAAAAAACACACAGAGGCTTGGGTTTCGAAGGCCTTCTTTCCCACTAACCCCCAAGGAATGTGCCCACAAAGGGTCCTAACCACTTGCTTTTTGCAGGCTATCCAAGAGAATTTGGACCCAGAGGAGATGTTAGAAACAATGGAAAGTGATGGCGTGACTGCAAATTTGTTACAAATCACTACTCTCTCAGTAGCTCCGGGGTCTCAAGGAGGAGCCATTGGGGTAAATATAAGCTGTGGGGCCTGGCCCACTGGGCCATCCACTGATGGGCAGGATCTGAGGCAGTTCACACTGGCTCCTGAAAAGTGGTCCAAAGGAGCGGCAAGTGTAGGCTTGTAGGGGAAGAGAATGTGAAAATGGAATGGCAGGAGGGCAGCATGCAGCCTTGGGCAGAGTACAGAGACGGAGGGGACATTAGTGTCTCTGACAGCCAGTTACCAATTCCCATTAGTTAGCCCGTGGGTCGGAGAGCTTCCTGGGCATCAGCTGGCAGCCTCTTCCTCCTCTGATATGGTAGAAGCAGCCTGACCTGTGGATCAGCTCTTCGTCTTGAATCTGTCCCATGTAGCCTTGAACACAACATCCCTTTCCCACTCTGAATTCATGGTCCCCATAATGTATAATGGAGATAATACTATTTATTTGCCTCTCAGGATTCTTTTGAAAAGGAATGAAGTGATTGATGTGAAAACTTTGGGTGGGGGGCCCTAACCCGTTCTACACATGAGAGGATGATACGTTTTGCGTACTGCTTCCCCCAAATCCAGCCACCAAGTCTCTGTGGCAACACAGGGCCTAGGCCGAGCCATGCCAGAGGGTGGGTTCTGTTGACCTCATCTCAGGAGGCCCGGGCCAAACTGATCTGGAACTCCAAGCACCCCAGGTAAGTGCTTCTCAGAGTTTAGTGTGCCTAAGATCAGCCAGAGAGATTGTAAACACCAGCTTTGGGGGCCCTACCGTCAGTTACCTGTTCAGTAGGTCTGATGTGGGGCCCAGTAACTTGCATTCCCAGCAAGTTCCCAGGTGGTGCAGATGCTGCTGGCCTTGGGATCTCACTCTGGAAGGAGCTACTTCTCCAAACTCAAAGTGCATCAGTTTTCCTCCTTCTGGCAGGTACAAGGATGGCCTCCATTGCCCTCTGCTGGCCAGACTATAAATTTAGCTGTCATGGAGAGAACCGCTTAGGTCTGAGAACCAGACCAGCCTACAAACAGCAATTGTTAATTGTTTGTTGCTTCAGAGTACCCTTAAAGAGGAATTAACAGGAATTATCTTATTCGATCTTTGCAACAACCCCGTGAAGTAGGCAAGGCTGGCATTTTCCTTTTACAAGTGAAAACAAGCCGATCGTCAGACCAGTAATGACAGACTCCTTGACAGAGGGGACTTGTTAAAAAGTAGGTTTCCCAATCCAAGGAGGAAAAGTAGAGGTTTGTCCTCACGAAGGCCAAGGAGAAGGGCATGGGGAAGATGCATGGCAGAGGCCTCATGTGTGAGAGCTCCTTTATTCCACAAACCTGGGAAGGCCAGCAAAGCCAGAAGGCTGGATCCTTTCTCCAGCGGTGCAAGTGGGGTTGGCTCTTAGTCCTGGGAGACCCCCTCATCCCAATTTCCTCTTCTAATAGTCAGACTTGAATGTCCATAGAATCACCTAGGGAATTTGTTAGACGTGAAGGTCCCTGGGTCCCACTGCCATGGTTCTGCTTCTCTTGGTCTACAATGGAACCTGGGGATCTGTATTTTAAGACACACTCTTTCCCTAGGAGTTCCAGAGCAGGAGATCCAAGGACTGCATTCCAGAAACTGCCAAGTCCTGGCATAATGCTCTCTTGACACATCACCAGCAACAAAGAAATGTTATTTGTCTGGGACGATATTCCCTTCTAGCCCCCCCTCCCTGCTTCCTTCGCCCATAATATCCTACAGGGTCATGACAGCCAATGTTAAGATTCAATCCTCAACTCTTTTATTCACCCTCCCCAAGCCTCAATTTCCTCATCTATAAAATGGGGTTATACATACCTTACTGGGCCTCAGTGAAGGTTAAATGAGAAGATGTGTCTTATGGATGGCTCCTGACGTTCAAGAAATATCCAATACACATGAGTTCATGGATTTTGACTTCTAAGCCCTAGTTCCTCAAAAAGTAGTAACATCTAAGCTGGCATCCTTTGGATTCCTACAGGTATTTTAAGCAACGGTCCTGAGGAGGACCAAGGAATAATCAAGGTGATGTCTTCTACCAGACTCATTCCCCTATGGAAGGATTTTAAATACCTCCTAAATGACATCATACATAAAAGCAAGGTAATACATATATAGGACATAAGTGTGTTATTGGCCTCTATATACCTTAATTGTTATGAGCACTTCAGAAGAGCATAGATTTTCTGGGGAAGCAGAAAGCAGCCCAGTAGACCATAAAACAATTGTCCCCTTAGTAGGAAGTGGACCGTTCATTTCCAAACGAGCCTAGGGATCTCTCACAAGTACATTTTGGTAGTGGAAGGGGAACACTCTGGAGCATTGTCAGAGGAACCAAACCTTTGTGGAGAGAGATTTTTCTAAAACAGAAGGGATTAGGCAGCAGGCAGAACACTGGCCAAGCTCAGTTTTGCTCTGGTTGGCTCTGTGTGAACTACCAGGTGAATGTGTCACAGCGCACGCTCTTATTGCTGTGCGATAATACATATTGCATATAATCTTCCTCTATCAAGCTTAAAGGTAGTGTGTTATAGTCTTAACTTTGTGCACTTTTAAGCCTTAAGAACTTAAAGTTGCACTGACTTTTGTCACACTCTGATTACATTTCGTGTAGGTCCGCAGTGGAGTACTTGCCTGGGTAATGTGTTAAATACGTCTTTTATGACATCTGTACCTTGTAGACAAAAGGAGTGTTAGCAAACGGGTATGCTGGGAAGAACATCTGTTTTCCCCTGTGCTCACACCATGAAATTTGTCCATTCAGGCCCTGTTAGGGGTTTGGTTCTCTCTTATGTCTCGTGTTGTGTTACCTGCTCGCAAACTGCAGGCGTACTACGAGTGACAAGTCGTGCGTGTGTGGGTGTTAACAAGGCATGAGGACGACCATGGGAAAGGCTTCTGTTGAGACTTGTGTGAGAGTATATTTAGTGCATGTGTGTCCTGGTCTGTCAATTCATGCCAGGCCTCTCCTCAGCAAACGTCAGAAGACCCAAAGAATGAAGTGGTCGTGCTGAGTGACCAGTCCCAGATACTGTTCAGAGAGTCTCGCCATCCTCAAAATATGCCTCTTATATGCTATTACTTCAGTGATGCCAACTTCTTCGCCTCCCTCTCTTGGGTGACAAGCACCAAAGAAATACAGGTAAAACTACCTCACCTTCCCTCTCCTTCTTAGCTCACTCGACAGGGGCCGTGACCACATAAGCTCTCATCCCAAACTGACAAAGGGAGATCTACCTCTTGAATGAAAATGACCAATGGGGCACCTGGGTGGCTCAGCCATTAAGCGTCTGCCTTTGGCTCAGGTCATGATCTCAGGGTCCTGGGATCAAGCCCCGCATCAGGCTCTCTGCTCAGCGGGAAGCCTGCTTCTCCCTCTCCCACTCCTCCTGCTTGTGTTCCCTCTCTTGATGTGTCTCTCTCTGTCAAATAAATAAATAGAACCTAAAAAAAAAGAAAAGAAAAGAAAATGGCGGAGATCTAGGGATCCCCCCCTCCTCCCTTACCATCTCTCCTTGAAGAGATTTTCTGATTTCCCTCAAGTAGACCAAGGTTAGGGAAAGGGTCCCAGACTTCCTGCTGCTACAGTATTTCCAATTCCCATAACCAGGGGGAGGGGGTAAAAACACTCGAGAGTCTTCCAAGTCCTCCTCAGCACAAGCACAGGGCAAAGGAGCCCCATAGTCAGCCCTTTCCTCTCCTACTATCTCTCCTAGTCAGGGTCCATCTTACTCTCTTGTAGGCTGTCGTATGGATGAAGAGCAAAACTGATGACATGGTCGAGAAGAGAATATTCTCCATGACTGAACGACTGCCGCCCATCCAGTGCATGGTCCACACGGGTTCCTTTCACATCCTCGTGGCCTATTGTGGCGACCTGATCTTGCGGCTCTTTGGGGACCACTTCCGGTCGTTCAAACCCCTGGGTATAGTGCCCTGCCGCTTTAACATCAACTGCCTCTGCTATGACCCGGAGATGAAGATGCTTCTGTCGGGCATCCTGGGGGCAGTGGTCACCTGGATCATTGAGCGGAGCGGCAGGGGCCTCCAAGTAGCCCACATGGTCCCCATGCCTGGGGATGAGCTCGTCCAGGACATCAGTCTGAACGGTCCCAATGGCTCCATCCTTGTGCTGTGTGAGACGGTGGTGAGGGTCCTTGAGCGCCAGGGCCAAGGCCAGCTAGGAGAGGTTCAGAGGTTCATGTCCACCACCAGCGGCTCCCCTATCACCTGCTGCTTCACCTGCTCGGACCAGGGCTTTCTCTATGCTGGAAATAAGAGTGGGGAAATCCAAGTATGGAGCATCGCCCGGGGAAACTCTCTCCACAGATTCAAGGCCCACGTCTCGGCGGTGATCTGTATTCGCAGCCGGCCGGAGGCCCACACCCTGCTCACAGCCGGCAAGGAAGGCCTGATCAAGGAGTGGAACATGACTCTGGGCAACCTGCTGCGGCGGCTAGAACTTGGCGAGGCGCTGTGTGAACTCGAGTTTATTGACAACACTACTTTCTTCTGCCAAACCACCCACACCTTCTCCTTGCGCTGTCTGCCTTGCTTCTACAGCCTCTTCAACGTCTGCGGCTCTGCTCCCCAGCAGCTGCGTCGGGTCCGCTGCGGTGAGAACTGGTTCCGGATCCTGTGCACTACTGAGGATGGCTTATTGCGCTTTGTGTCCCCACTCACGGGGGATCTGCTCGTCCTCACCTGGCCCTTCTCGATCCTGGACCGGGCTGTGGATTGGGCCTATGACCCAGAAAAAGAGGAGCTCTTTGTAGCAACAGGCACCACAGAGGTGCTGGTGTTTGACACGACCCGCTGCCCTTGCCCAGCCAAGTATCTCTTGTGCACCTCCCCAGACTCTCGGGACTGGGTACAATGTCTGGCTTATGGGCATTTCCACCTGGGGCGGGGTCTACAAGGACTCATGTTCTCTGGACACCAGAGTGGGGTGATCAGAGTGCTTTCCCAGAACTACTGTGCCCGAATAGAGAAGTTCATGCACTTTGGAGCTATCCTGGCACTCTCTACACTACCTGGAGGGCTTTTTGGTAGCCGAGAAAACTCTTTGCTCTGTTCCTATGGAATGGATGACTACATACACCTATCAGAAACTGTGCTCGAGGGGAAGCGAGTGCATTTGAAGACGCTCGCCAGCATTCTCAGCAGCTGTCACCTAAAACACCTGATACTCTTACCCACCTCTGTGGGCGCTATCACGGAGACTAACTGTCTGCGTCTCTGGAAGTTCCATGATTTTCTGTCCTCTGAGTCACAAGAAGGCTCAATGTATATAGAGACACTGCCTCTGCACCAGTGTACCATCACATCCTTCGATGTCTGCCTGTCCTTGGGTCTTTTTGTCACAAGGGGTATTGATGGGTCTGTCCGGGTCTGGAACTTCCATGGCAGACTTGTAGCCATGCTGGATTCATCACTGCACTTTGGCCCACTCTGCTTTGCAAACGACCGGGGTGACTTGCTTGTGACTTTTAACCAGAGTCTTTATCTGGTGTCCTGTCTCAAACTGCTTCACCCAAACCTGCTGGCTCGCCTTTCCTTTATGAGCATGCCAGATGAAGTGCTAGAGGCCCCTAAGCCTTTTGCCCCAAGCTTCTTCTTCTCCTTTGAGACCATGTTTGTGCCCAAGTACATCTACCTTGGAAAAGGGAAACAGGAATTAGCAGGTCTAGAGAAACTTGTCAATAAGCGGGCCATTGCCTTTGATCATACGGTGCCACATGTCATAGAAGAAGATGAGCAAGGGAGCCCCATGATACTGTCTTCCTTCAGACGCGGTTTCTCATATAAAGAGGAGACTGTTGGGATGAAGGTGAGCAAGCCTCCCCATTATGTGGTTCCTCCCCAACTACAGTTGTCTACCTGGGATGGACTCAACCCTTACCAAATACTGAGATGCTACTTTGGTCATGGGCGGAAATGGCTCTTGGCTCCTGACTGCTACATCCCCAACTCAGTGATTCGTGCCCGTCTTTGGCCAGAGGGAAGCCCAATATACCTACAGTGCAACCTGCATTCACCTGTGTGGGAAACGGAATGGGACAAGTCCCAGCAATTCTTCTTCTGGCACAGTAGGGAAAAGTCTCTAAGTGATGATGCAGGAGAATATTCCTATGAAAAGGAGGATGACAACTTCATAGAAATGAGACTGACCAAGGATGTAACCTACAGTGTCCTTACAGACTCAGCAAACCGTAGTTGGCTAGGGAAAAAGATGAGTGAAATAGCTATTAATAGCCTGGTGGAGACAATCCTCAACATTATGATCCATGCTTCCCCACTGAAGTACCAATGCTGCATTGGTGCCCTGGGACAAATCTTTGCCTCTTATGAGGTGTCTTCATCCCTGCGCTCTGAAACAGCCCGTCGCCTACTGGATGATACCGCCAATTCCAACCCGCTGATCCGAGAGCTAGCCTGGGAAGGGCTAAAGCGTCTAGGAATGATTACTCATCTTTTTGCCATGCCTCTGGCCCAAGGATTGATGGACAAGGACCAAAGGGTGAGGAGTAAGGCCCTGACCCTCATACCTGACACTGGAATCCACTGTAAGTCCTCACTCTTAAGCTTGATCCAGCACCGAGAGACCTTCCGGGAGATGCAGTAAGTTCTTTGTGCCTTCTGCAATTCTTGACTAGCCTCTAGTTTCCTTCGCCCTTTCCCTTCCTTCACTCTCTCTTCATACCTCTCCATTAACTCTTACTGTCCTTTTTCTCTTTCATTGTCTTTTTCCATTCCTAGACTGTCCTGACAATCCTGATGGCTCACTCCTGTCTCCACTTTTTCTCCTATTCCTGTCTGTCCCCTAACTCCTGAGTTCCCCTGCTCATTCTTTTCTCCTACCTCTTCATTCCCCATAAAAACCACTCCGTTCATTGCCACCTTGGCTTTCTAGACTTCTTCTTTTTTCTTGGCCATCCTCTATGTCAACGTACACTGTCTCTGTTGGCCACTGTGACAAGCCCCCTGCCTGTTCCACAGCAGTTTGCAGTTCCTTCCTTCTCATTCTCCCTGTTGTCCTTTCCCTGATTCATCCTGGTCTTTCCCCTCCTTTGACTTTTACAGGCAGGAAATGATTGGGGATGAATCCCTAGACCATCTGTTGGGGATAAGGGCCACAGATCTCCAAATACTTCACACTCAGGTGGAGCAGCGATTGAATGAAAACCTGACCTTGTCAGAGGGACAGGAAAAGCCTGCTTTTTCTTTAGAGGTCTCAAGGGTTTCTGAACGTCTATCCCTTTCCAAGCAACCTGACGTAATTCCTGAAGAATCTAAAGCTCCCATCAAGTCTGGCAAAGGCAAAAAGGGGGGCAAAAAGCATGGTACGTATGGGGTGATCCGATTCATGCCTCATCGTTCCCAAGGGGCAAAACAGTTAGGGCTAACATGGGTCAAGAGATATCAATCAGGTAGGACCAGAGACAAGTAGACGCATCTTTTCACACAAACTTCCTAGGAAGAATCTACCCAAACTCAGGGAGACTCCAATGCTTATCTCCACAGGATTTAGAAGTGGGGGAGCACCAGAATAAAGTAAGGAGAACTCTTTTTTTTTTTTTTAAGGCCTCAGCTCCCTCTGTTGCTACTTCTTTTACGGCAATTCTTCTTACTCATACCATTAGTGGGAAAGAAGTGACTTAAGCCTCCCATGCCTTTCTTATCTCCATCTCCTGATCTTCCCTACAGCCCGAAAATTGTGGCGGGCCCTCAAGAAGATGAAAGAGGCTGGCAGACAGCAAGGTCTCTTAGAGGGTGAAATTGATGAGAGGGAAGCTGCACCAGTTTCGGTGGAGGAGACAGCCGTCCATCCTAGAATCTCTTCGACCATCAGTGTGTTAAAGAGTTCAAAAGATGGTGAGCCACAACCTCCAGAGAAAGACACCTCAAAGGACCATTTTGCATTGACCCTGAAGACGCTAAGGAAAATCCATGAGAGAAAAGGCAAGAAAAGAACAGCGCGGAAACCCAAAAAGAGGCACAAGAAGAAGACAAAAGAAGCCGAAGTTATAATTGAGGAAACTCTGGCTGCTGTAAAGGAAGAACCAGTTGTGAAGCTGCTGAAAGCCCAAGGGCGGGGTGCCGCTGGGGCGCCTGGCCGCAAGACCGTCCCTGAAGACAGCTCATCATGGCGGGATGATCTATGTCGTCTTATGACCCTTAGAATATCTGGTTCCCAAACACACATGTCAGAAGCTCTAAACATGGAGCTGGTGGCCATGGCTCAGGAGGTGCTGGCAGATCGACAGCCCAGCTGGGAGCTTTTCCAGGAGATCTGCCCCTTGTTGGAGGAAAAAAGTGAGGTTCTGCTTGAGGACCTCAACTGGGATGTAGTCTGGCCAGAGGAGAAACCAATTTTTATTCATGAAAGGGCAATTAGAGACGACATAATAAGCAGAAGGGAATACGAGATACCAGAGGTGCAAGAGCAAAAGGAAGCAGGGGACGTGCCAGCTGTGCAGGAAACCCAGGTGATTCCCAAAAAAGTCAAGAAAAAGAAAGTTCTCTTTTTAGGACCAGGTGGTCTAACCAAGGGAAAACGAATATCGAAGAAAGAAGAGAAGAAATCCTTTAAGAAACCCTTTAAGCAAGAGAGGAAAGAAGTTCAGCAGGAAATAGAAGTGGATGAAAAAGAGACAGTGAGCAAAAGAGAGAGGGATGTGAGCCCAGCAGTAGAGGAAGTGGCCAAACCAGAAGAGGAAGTAGTTAAGCAAGAAGAAAGCCCAGTTATGGCTGAGAGGAAGCTGTCTTGGCAGGAGTGGAAGAAGTCCTGGGATGAGTGGAAACAGGCCCAGGATGAGAAGGTACCCTGGGATGAATGGAAGAAAGCCTGGGACAAGAAGCATCTGGAAGAAGAGGAGAAACAACAAACAGATGAAAGGAAGCCACTCCCAGGGGAGGAAAAGCTGGATGTGGACAAGAAGAAGCTGAGATGGGATGAGTGGTTAGAGCTCTGGGAAAAGATAGTGGACAGGTCCAGAGAGGAACACAAACCTGAGGAGGAATTGACCCTGAAGGGAGAAGAAGTGTCTCAGGAATGGGAAGAAGGAGAAGAGAAAGAAGAGCTGATGTCAAAAGAGGAGAGACAGATCCGAAAGGAATATGATCAGGCCTGGATTGAGAGGAAACGAGCCCAGGCTGAAAGGAAACGAGCCCAAGAAGAAAGGAAGCTGGCACAGAAAGAAGAGAAGCTGGCACAGAAAGAGAGAAAACTGGCCCAGGAAGAGAGAAAACTAGCCAGGGAATATGGGAAACTGGCTCAGAGAGACAGGACAATGGTCCAGGCAGAGAGGAAGTTTGTCCACAATGAGGAAAAATTGGCCCAAAGAGAGGAGAAGTTAAGCCAAGAAGCAGAGAAACTGGCCCAGAAGAGGAAGAAACTGGCCAAGCAATTTGAGGAACTGGCTGGAGAAGAAGAGAAAATAGCAAAGAAAAGAGAGAAGCTGGCTGAGGTAAAAAAGATGCTGGCCCAGAAAACGGAAAAACTGACCCAGAAGGAGCAAGATCTGGCATTGCAAGAAAAAGAACTATCCCAGGAATTGAAGGAGCTGATGTGGGAAGAGGAGGAACTGGCTCGGAAAGAAGAGGAAATGAATCAGGACTTGAGCGATCTAGCTGAAGAAGAGGAGGAACTGGCTCAGGAAGACAGGACCCTGGCCTGGCAAGAGCAGAAACTGAGTAAGGAAGAGAAAGCGCTGGTCCTGGAAGAAGAACTGCTGATTCAGGAGGAGAAGAAGCTGGCCCAGGACAAGGAGAAACTGCCTGAGGAAGAGGAAAGGCTTGCTGAGAAAAGGAAGAAACTGATGGAGAACAAGTTAAAACTGGTCCAGGAAAAAGAAAAATTGGCCCAGGACAAGGAAAAACTCAAAAACAACAGGAATATACTATACTGGAGGGGGAAGTCTCTGGCGCAGGAGAGGGAGAATCTGCTCCAGGAGAAAGTGAGATTGGCTCAGAGGAAAGAGAATCTCCTCCAGATCACAGAAAACCTTGCCCAGAACAAAAATAAATTAGTCCAAGCAAAGGAGAAACTGGACGTGTACAAGAAGAAACTTGCTCAGGAAGAGGAGAAGCTTGTGGAAGAAAAGAAAACACTTGCCCAGAGGAAGGAGAAGGTGGATGAGGCTGAGAAAAAGTTGACCCAATTAGAAGAAAGTCTGGCTCAGAAGCAGCACAATCTAGCCCGGGACAAGATGGAATTAGCTATGGAAAAGAGAGGTGTCTTCCAAGAACTGAAAGTGCTCAGAGGAGACTGGGATAGTGCTAAGGAAAAAAAGGCACTGAGCAAAGAAATGAAGAAACTGGCCCAGGAGAAGGTCAGGCTGGCTGAGGAAAGCCAAATTCTCTCCACAGGAGAGACTAAAGAAACCTTAAAACAGTTCAGAGTAACCAAGAATGAACTAGAACAAATCAAGAGGAAATTGTCACTAGAGGAGAAGATACTGAGGTATGAAGATAGGGTATTGGCCACAAAGCAAAGGGACATTGCCAAAGGAAAACTGGAATTTACCAGAGGAGGAAGAGTGTATGCCCAGGAAGAGAGGAAGCTGGCCAAAGTAGTAAGGAAGTTGAGTAAAGAAAAGGAAGGCATTTCCAAGGCACAATCAAAAGTGAGCAGCAAAGTCTTAAAGGCACTTCAAGATCTTACCAGAGAAGAAATGAAAGTGATCCAGGAAGAAATAGAGATGACAAAGATGAAGAGGAACTTCTTGGTTAAGGAAAGGAGATTGAGCAAGGAACAAAATAAGCTTGATGCCAAACAGTGGGATTTTTCTGTGGAACAACCAGAAGTAACCAAAGATGAGAAGAAGCTGGCTAAGAAGCAGAGAAAACTGGCCAAGGAAATGAAAAGAATGATAAAGAAAGAGAAAAAAATAACTGAGGAAGAAAGCAGATTGGCCAGACAACAGAGAGAAGTCATACAGGAAGAAGAGAAGGAAGAACTAACAAAGGATGAAGAGGTAATACCACTGCTTGAACAAAGGTTGAAAAAGAGAAAAGAGCTAAAGACACTTGATACACCAAAGGAAAAGCTTCCCAGTCAAGAGGAGAGTAGAATTAGCCTATCCAGAGAAATAGAAAACTTACTGGATGAAGTAGAGCGAGAGAGTTTGTCTGAGGAAGAGGAGAAAGAGGAGGAGGAGGAGGAAGAAAAAGAGGAGGAGGAGGAAGAGGAGGAGGAGGAAGAGGAGGAAAGGAAGATGGTGGAGGAGAAGGAGGTAGAGGTGGAAGAGAGAAAGAAGAAGGAGAAAGAGAAGGAAAAGAAGGAGAAGAAGAAGAAAAAGAAAAAGGCGCAGGAGGGGGAAGAGAAGGAGGAGGAGAAAGAAGGGGAAGAGGAAGAGGAGGAGGAGGAAGGGGAGGAGGAGGAAGAAAGCATGAGTGAAGAAGAGTCCGAAAGTCTGAGTGAGGAAGAGTCAGAAAGTCTGAGTGAGAAAGAAAAGGGGGAAAGCTCTTTGAAAAAAGACAAGAAAAAAGAGATCTTAAAAACAGGAAAATTATTTAAGTCACAAGCAGAAAGACAAAAGGACCGAAGGGAAAGAGAAATAATCCCTTCTATTGGAAAAAGAATCTCTGATATCAGAGACACTGCTAAACAACTAAAAGTTCTGAAAGTCCCTTCCAAGAAAATAATAGCTCTGGACACGCAAGAGAAGATACCAGTGCCAGTGTCTACAAAACAAGTATCCCCGGAAGAAAAGGCCAGAGCACTTGAGGCATCCAGGATGTTTCCAGAGTCAAGGTTTATGGACAGACAAGGAGAACTGTTGAAGAAATATAAGCCCAAACCTCTACAAGTTTTGGATACAGTTTTGGAGTCCCCAGAACGAGACTTAAAGACTCCATATTTACCTGACATATTGAGGCAGACCATGGAAGCTCACAAACTCCAAGGCAAACCACTAGACCCCAAGTTGCAGTGGATTTTGCAGCATCATCCAGTCCTGATGAGAAAGACTGGTGTACCTTTGCCCCAAATCTGGGCCAAGGAAGTAGGTGCTCAGGTAGGACTCTCAGATATAGACTGGATCCACCATGTTCTAGAACGGATGGAGGCAGGAGAACAGCTTTCTAGGGAGAGTTTCCACAGATTGTGCCAGCTTCTCAAAGACCTCACCACAAAGGGAAACCTAGATTGGCTTCATCTGGCCCAACTTAAAGCCATTGTGTACCGTCACAGGCAGATCCTGGAATCACGAAGCGCACGTATCTCGAAATCCAGTAAGGAGTCTCTGGGTCCAAAGTACCCGAAAGTTATCCCACCTATAAAAAGAAAGGAAAGCTGGTTAAAACCTTTCAGTGGCCCCACACCAAAGTCCCCATTAGGTACCAAAGGGATCCCCACCCCAAAGGGTGTAAACTGGCATCTTCTAGAAGAGCCTTACAGGAGTGCCTGGGCAGGGCAGATATCCACTGCTCTCAAGGAGATGGAGGTGCCACACTTTCCTCCTGCTATGGGAGACACTGTCACAGGTGCCCAGGCCTCTGTGGAAAAACAAACCCTTGCCCTGATGTTTCAAAAAGACTTCTGGGCTTTTAAGGACAAAGGCAGGTTTCCCAGATTGCCCAAGCTGGAGAAGAAGGCCCAGGACATCGCTAAGAAGAAGGAAGAGGTTCCTCTCTGGGAGACATTTGTGGCACTGTACCACGTCTTGCAGATGTTGCAGCAACGATATGCAAAAGACAGCGCTGCTTGGATGGAACAGTTCCATCAGCTCGTGGACCTGTACCAGCTTAAGTCCCCCCGAATCCAGAAGCTGCTGCAGGAGCTGTTACTGAGAGATGAACCCCAATCCCAAGAGATCACCTACGAGGAGGCCCGAAAGGCCATGGAGCTGGTTCCCGGGGAGCGCTTGTTCTACCACCTGTTTTGTGGTGGCTCTCAAAACCCTAAAGGTCCTCTGGAGTTCCAGGAGGTGGTTCCCCTCCCAGGTCAGAATAACATCCGTACCATCAATCATATGGGTATTGCTCAGTATGGGATCTTGGAACTTGCCTGGAAGAGCCTGCCCCAAGCAGATATTCATCTCACCAAGGAAATGCCCCACATCATTGCTCCCACCCCCTAATTTGGGACTGACGAGAGGTCAGGACTTTTCATTCCCACCTGGGGGAAGGCCTTGTCGCCCTAATCTAGACCCTTATCCGTAGGGCCCACACAGAGGTAGGGCCAGGCCAAAGCCCTTTTCCTAACTAGCTCCAGAAACCAGCTTCCATATGTGGAATAAAGAGGAGGTTCCTGTTTGTAGCATCGCTGTAATGTGTCCCTCTACCTCAAACATTGCTTCCCCAGAAAGGTAGCCAGAGAGACCAGATATATACTCCTGAGAGTGGGGAAATATCCCAAAAGCTAGTGGGTGCTCACCCTCTGGAGACCTTCAGGCAGAAGAGTCTTCCCTTGTCCTCTTCCTTACTTGCCTCCCCCATCCTCCCCTAAAGACTACAGGAAGGAAAGCACCTGGCACAAAAATGAATGAATATTTGGCATTAGTATAAGAGGCGCTGATATAGTAGAAAGAAAATGGACTTTAGAATCAGAAGACCTGGCATAGTTCTTGGAGTTTCACAGTGGAGACAGACTCTGTTTCCCTGTTCGTAGCTCTGCATGCTGATGACTGGAGTCCCAAACAGCAGGTGTGTTGAGTGTTGAGGGGGCCCTGAGAGTATCTCATGAGTCCCTTCTCTCTAACAACAAAGAAGATAAGAGTTGAAGGAATGGGGTAGTAAAGTGAAGGAAGTTGTCCTTGCCAGTAACTGTGTTCTTTCTGTGAGCTCCACTCCCCACCATGGAAACTTCAGAGTTGCCTTTCTCCAGGTAAGCTGAGCCTTTCATCAGCTTCTATCAGGGAGCCCTTCTTACCATTTGCCACACTTCATCATGATGTCTCCTTTGTTATTCTATTCCCTCTACCTGAGTTTGCTTTTGTGGGAGAAGCCAGGGATAGAGGGCAGGAGAACATTCTGAGAATTTGGAGTCACCTCAGAGGCCAAGCAGTACAGACCCACATGGAGGGTACAAAAGCTATGGGCCAGGGACAGGAAGCCTCAAAAAGGAAGACTGACCCAACAGCCAGGTAAGGCAGCAAAAATAAGGATGGCCCAGCTGGCTCTCTCAGCTCTGATTTAAATCATTTCTTTCTGGCCTCTTTTTGTCTATGTCAAAAAGGACAGTGTACGAATTACAAGTATCAGGCATGAAAGAGGCATGAACAACACTAGAGACCCTACAGACATCAAAAGGATAGGGATTATATACTATGGATAACTCTACGCCCATAATTTTGACAACATAGATGAAATGGACAAATTCATTGAAACTCCCAGAAAGGAAATAGTAATACCTATTTTTAAAAAAGATTTTATTTATTTATTTATTTATTTATTTATTTATTTATTTGGCAGAGAGAAAGAGATCACAAGTAGGCAGAGAGGCAGGCAGAGAGGGGGAAGCAGGCTCCCCGCCGAGCAGAGAGCCTAACACAGGGCTTGATCCCAGGACCCCAAGTTCATGACCCGAGCTGAAGGCAGAGGCTCAACCCACTGAGCCGCCCAGGCGCCCATAGCAATACCTATTTAATCTCATTTTGCAGGATATCAGTGGGTGTCCTGGTCAAAAATAAGACACTGTGACCAAAAACAAAACAAAAAAGCAGTCTAGCTTTTGTTGTCCTAGAATCAGGAATTCTACGGATGACTCTTCAGGGAGTCTCAAAACCTTGGTACTGGCTGTGACACTCTAGATATTTTTCAATTTCAATGTTGTCCCCTGACCTAGGGTCCTTTGTAAATTATTTTGTTTCTGTTCTAGGAGACCGTCTATAGTTACATATTGCATTTCCTTGTCATGTCTCTTTAATGTCCTTTAATCTGGAACAATTTAACAGCCTTTATTTGCCTTTCATAACACTGACACTTTTTTAAAAAAAGATTTTATTTATTTATTTATTTATTTATTTATTTTTAAAAGATTTTATTTATTTGACAGACAGAGACCACAAGTAGGCAGAGAGGCAGGGAGGAGGAAGCAGACTCCCTGCTGAGCAGAGAGCCGGATGTGGGGCTCGATCCTAGGACCCCAGGATCACGACCTGAGCCGAAGGCAGAGACTTTAGCTCACTGAGCCTCCCAGGCGCACCAAGATTTTATTCATTTATTTGACACAGAGAGAGAGAGAGTGAGAGTGCACACAAGCAGGGGGAGAGGCAGAGGGAGGGGAGAAGCAGGCTCCCTGCAGAGCAAGGGAAGCCTGATGTGGGACTCGATCCTGGATCATGACCTGAGCCAAAGGCAATGGCTTAACCAACTGAGCCACCCAGGTGCCCCTACACTGACACACTTTTACTGTGGCTAAATACACATAAAATTTATCATTTTAACCACTTTTAAAAATTATTTATTTATTTGACAGACAGAGATCACAAGTAGGCAGAGAGGCAGGCAGAGAGAAGGAAGCAGGCTCCCTGCTGAGCAGAGAGCCCGATGCGGGGCTATCCCAGGACCCTGAGATCATGAGCTGAGCCGAAGGCAGAGGCTTTAACCCACTGAGCCACCCATGTGCCCCTCATTTTAACCACTTTTAAATGTACAGTTCTGTGGCATTAAGTACATTCTCATTCTTGGGCAACCATCACCACCCTCCTTCTCCAGAACTTTCTCATCTTCCCCAACTGAAACTCTGTACACATTAAACACTAGCTACCATTTTCCCCTCCCCTCAGTCCCTGGCAACAACAATTCTATTTTCTGTAGTTAGGATTTTGATTATAACATTGCCATTATTGAAAAATATCATCCCCCCATCAACCACACATTTTTCTTAAAGATTATTTATTTGAGGGGCACCTGGGTGGCTCGGTGGGTTAAGGCTTCTGCCTTCGGCTCGGGTTGTGATCCCGGGGTCCTGGGATCAAGCCCGGCGTTGGGCTCTCTGCTCGGCGGGGAGCCTGCTTCCCTTCCTCTTTCTCTTTCTCTGCCTGCCTCTCTGCCTGCTTGTAATCTCTGTCTGTCAAATAAATAAAAATAAATTTTTTTTAAAAAGATTATTTATTTGAGAGAGAGAGGGGGGCAGGGGGAGGGGCAGAGGGAGAGAGAGAGTCCTTTTTTTTTTTAAGATTTTATTTATTTGACAGGGAGAGAGAGCACAAGTAGGCAGAGAGGCAGGCAGAGAGAGAGAGAGCGGGGAGCAGGCTCCCTGCTGGGCAGAGAGCCCAAGGGGCTCGATCCCAGGACCCTAAGATCATGACCTGAGCCGAAGGCAAAGTCTTAACCCTCTGAGCCACCCAGACGCCCCAAGAATCCTAAGCAGGCTCTGTACTCAGCACAGAGCCTGACTTGGGACTCCATTCCACCACCTTGAGATTATAACCTGAGCTGAAATCAAGAGTTAGCTGCTTAACTGATTGAGCCACTCAGACGTCCCTAGCTGAACATTCCTTGTTTGGGGTTTGTCTGGTGTTTCTTCATGAACAGATCAAAGTTATGCATTTTTTTAAGAAAGGAGGAGGGGAAGAGTGAGAGAGTCAGGGGGAGGTGCAGAGAGAGGGGGAGAGAGAATCTTAAGCAGGCTCTGAGCACAGCCCAATGAGGGGCTCAATCTTACAACCCGAGATCATGAGCTGAGCTGAAATCAACAGTTGGATGCTTAACCAACTGACCCACCTCAGGCACCCCCCCCAAGTTGTGCATTCTTGAGAATACTGTATAGATGATGATGTGTCCTCCTAGGGCATCATATATAGGGCATCCAGTGTCCATTTACCCCAGATTGGTCATGTTAACTTTGATCACTTGGTAAATGGTTACCCAATTTCTGCATTATATTTTACTGTTAATTCTCCTTCTTTACACTAATAAGTTGTATATGAGAAGGCACTCTAAGACAAATATTTGGCTCATCAAAATTTCTCCTCAGGTTGAACCTCCATTCATGATTCTTAGTTGATCCAATCAAAAGCACAATGGCTCCAAAATGATTTTCTGACTCCAGCATACCCACCATATTTTCTAGTCAGCCCTCAGCCTCTTATGTTCTTTGTGACATGCTCTCTTCATTTATTTTTTAGCACTTCATTACTTTCTGGTATAACAAGACATTCCAGGTTCATCTTATATCCACCCTTCTCCAGCTCTGGAATTAGCTATTGCTCTGGGGAGACCTGGCTCCTCTTAATGGGGAATGGTACTAGAAACTATTGTGAGTTGAATTGTGTCCTGCCAGAAGGGTATATTACAGTCCTAACCTGCAGAACCTAGGAGTGTGATATTCTTTGGCAAGAGTCTTTGCAGGCGTAATCAAGATGAGGTCCTACTGGATCAGAATAGACCATAAATCCAATGACTGGTATTCTTACAAGGAGGGGGAGATTTGGCAACACACAGGCACACATGGAAGAAGCCTACGTGATGACAGAGACAGAGGGTGGAGTAGCACAACTGCAAGCCGAGGAACTCCAAGGACTGTCAGCAACCACAAGAAGATGAGAGAGGCACAGAACAGTGTTGATTCCCAGCCCTCCTGGGAGCTTTCTAGGTATAATCTGAAACCGGTCCCCATACAAGGAGAGCAGGGAGAGAGAGAAGAAAGAGAGAAGACACTCCAGGTTGGTAGGTGGCAGTTTTAATAGGCAAAAGGAACTTACATACAAGGCTTATCTTGGCAGCAGCAAGATGAATGGATCCCACCCACCAAATCTTAAAAGTTTATAAAGAGGCCCTAAGTTCAGTTGTGTATACCATGAAGTGTTTTCAGCATCACATCCTTATATCTGTCCTTGGAGCAGCCTCTGGGAGCCTCTGGAAAAGGCAAGCAGAACCTCCATAGCAAGGGTAAAGGAGGGGGTCAGGAGCCTCCAAGTGACTGGGTCCACTTCATCAGCTGTCATCATCTTTTTGATGATTTTCCCCAATAAACAGATTATCCCTCAGAGCCTCCAGAAGGACCCAACCCTGCTGACCCTTTGATTTTGGACATCTGGCATCCTGAACTGTGAGAGTATTAATTTCTGTTTTAAGCCACCTGGTTTGTGGTAATTTATTATGGCAGCCCTAGGAAACAAGATCTGGGCACTAAGTGTACTCATTGCTACTGGTGTGACTTTGCTTTGTGGCCCCTTCAGCAGACACAGCTCGGAAATATGTGTATGTATAAATACACATATATACATACACATAAAGATGTATGTATGTGCACATAAACATGCTTATCTACATAAATATATTTTAGACATGAGTTCACACTAGTACCTGCAATTTCAATCCATTTCCAGAGGGGTCATTGTTGTCTGTCCTTATTTCGTAT